GTGTGTGTGTGTGTGTGTGTGTGTGTGTGTGTGTGTGTGTGTGTGTGTGTGTGCGTGTGTGTGTGAACAACTGTGGGAGTAACATAACGAGCATGAGGTGGACATCGTCTAATGCCACCAATTATGGACTATATATATTGTTTGCTAGGAACGCGCCTATACAGGTGACAGTGAACGGTAATGAAACTCGCGGAGTTATGCTATGCTCGAGCTATGCTATATTATGATAAGCAACCATCATTAAACAATCACCTTGTCTCGCATCTCCGTCAGTCGATACTCAGACACGATCTGCATTGCAAATCATTACCGTCTACGTTAAAACTGCACGGTGCTGCGTGTTTGCTGACGCGTTATTGTTAGTTTCGCTGCTTGTTGTCGTTTGCGCCGACAGAATGAGTTTTACCAGTTTAATCGTTGCGAATCTCCTTCCCTAAACTTTTGTGTTTAGCGCACGATCGAAATCGCGTTCGTTATCGCGAGAGCTTGGCGAAATGTTTGCTTTTAAAATTCCGTGCATTATTAAAATAGGCTTGCCGTCTGAACGTAATAGGGAAGGAGCTGTGCAGATGTGGTGCACACACGCGAAATGTGACGATACGCGACAGGTTTGACAGCAATTATCATGATTCTAAGTTTAGACAGTATACGGTCACTTGTGTTTACAATGAATGCATTGAAAGCGATGTTTTACGTTAGGAGGAATTACTTGATTAGTCAATTACTCTACAGAACTACTAGTTACTTTGTTCATATTACTGTAGCGTTTTATCAGGATAATTAACACCGTATTAAGCGTCGGTAATGATGAGCGCGTTAGCCCATCCTTTACTTTGTAGATAATTAAAATGGAATTAGGCGTCTTCTTATTACATGATCGACATCTTTAGATGACGTATACAAATAGGATCATGTGAGCACAATCTCATTAATTGCAGACGGGTTTGCTTTGTTGTATGTAATTTATCAGCGAGTATCGTATAAAGCAACTCTAACCGGACTAAACATGGACAGCGAGCGAGAGGAGGATAAAGGGCGAGGGGAGCGGGACAACGCTAGAGGAGCATGAAGGCAAAAGCAAGATCATATCAAAAGACGGACAGATAAGAGCCAGCTAGCCCGCCAGACAGGCAGGCAGGCAGGCAGGCAGACAGACAGACAGAATATGTATGTCTGTCTGTCTGTCTGGCTTTCATGGTTTCATTACAGTGTGGTAAATAACGTCGGTTTTGTAACGAAAAACTGTGACATGGTTTCCACATTTCACGCTCGTTCAATCGAGCTAGGTGAACACCTGACGTTAACGTCGGAAATGCACAGTGCGTCGCCTTCGTATTTTCCCGCATGTATTGCGCCATACAGAACCTTTCTCAACATGACCATCGGCCATGAAATGACTACGATTCCATTCGTCAAAAGCACTCGCGACAAATGTCATTGGTATCGAGTTCATTTTCGTTTCAAATATAGCTGTCATGTTCGATGTAGGCGGTGCTTGCTGATGTGATGCTACGCGAACTACAGTGGGATCGAAGATGAGTAAACAAAGTGCACCGTAGCAAACGCGTACAGAAATTTATTAAAATGTCATTGTTTACTGTAATTACAAAACATTGCTGATTTCGCTTTTTTCGTTTCTCGCGTGACATTGTGTTTTGTCTCATTGCGCCGAAACACAAATAAAAGATATGCGATCATTTACCATATGAAACTTGTGTTTTGCATCGCGGGAGGTGCTAACCGCACAAAAGTCTAATTACGTTTCCAACGCAAACCCTTATTCATTGCCTCAATTCAAATTTTCACTCAAGAATCGAACAAACTCCTAATTAAATTCACCGATTAAAATCTCGGTCGCGCCGGGGGTCGTCAGAATATCTAACGCCATCTCTCAGCACGCTCGTCGCTGTTCTTATTTGTTTCAGGCGCAGCATGACGCGGCTTACGTACCACGACGTCGAGCAGTGGATGGACGCGAACCCTGACAGCCGCTGCGACTACTTCCTCCGCAAAGCCGACCTCTCTCTCGTCAACAAATGGCTCCTCTGTCACGGCCACGACACCGTGCTCACCGAGACAAAATCCGCCTGCCGACGCAGCTCGGCTCCCGGCCACGCGCCGACCGTACTGACGGCGGCGCTGTCGTCGCCGCTAGAGCGCGTGCTCGACACGCACGTCGAAGGTCGCGCGACGACGACGACGACATCGCACAGTAAGCCGAAGCCGCCGCCGCGCAGCAACTCGCGTAAGTTTCTGCGACAGGACTTCGCCAAGTGCAAGAACACGCTGCTGTACCGTACGTGCGAAGCGGCCGTCGTCAGCAGCGAGATGCCGTCGAGCGACGTCGAGGCGCGTCGCAACAGCCTGAAGAACATGCGCCAGTACACGTCGCTGCCGCCGTCGTCGCTCAACATGCTGAGTCATCTCATCGAGTCGAAGATCCGGCTGCCGCGACACGTATCGAAGGACGCGGCGCAGCTGAACGAGCTGCGACGCACGAACGAGCGCGAGTTCTTCCTCGACATCGTAAAGGACATCGCCAACGAGATGGACGTGCGCCACCTGAGTAGCAAGGTGACGCAGAACATACGGCTGCTGCTCGACGTCGACCACTCGTCGCTGTTCCTCATACAGAAGTCGCACAAGGGCAAGGTGCTCGTGTCGAAGCAGTTCGATGCCTACACGGGCACGAACGTGCTGCTGTCGACGAGCGGTGACAACGTCGTGCAGGTGCCCTGGGGCACAGGAATCATCGGGCACGTGGCCGACAGCGGAGAGACAGTCAATCTCACACAGGCATCCGAGGTAAGAGTGCGCCAATCATTAACTCGATCATTAACTCCATCGTTAACTTGATCGAAGACTCGATCGTTCGTTAACTCGATCATAACCTTGGCCGTTAATTCTATCGTTAACTCGGTCGTTAACTCAACCATTAACTCAATCTTTAAATCAAAAGAATATGCTCGTTGAAGCAATCGAAAAGTCGATTGTTAATTCAGTCATAAATTAAATCGTTGACTTAATCAATAACTCGATAGTTAGCTCGATCGGTAACTCAATCATTAATTCAATCTTTTAATCAATCGTAGACTTGTCCGTTAATATGATCGTCAATTCGATCATTTTATTGATTGGTAACTTGATCGTTGAATCGATCAATAACTCGATCGTTAACTAAATCGTACCTCAATAGTTAATCGACCGTAAACTCATTTAAACGATGTAGTTATCAACGAGGTTGCCTTTCTCATAATTCTGAAAAATAACTATCACTTGACCGATTGCCGTGAATTTAACCCACGGGGAGAATGAAAATTCAGCTAGCTCAGTGATGCAAGAGAACCTTTTTCAATTATAAAATTGGAATGATTACTATGTACGAATGAAGCTTGAGTCTAGACCTATCATTATCAGCGGTCACCTCTGCGATATAGTAATTCCCTGTTTTCAAAAACAACAATTACGTCGGAGTGAAGCAATCGACGAAATCCTGTTATAGATAAATCTCCCTGGTCTGTGTAATAACAGCTCGAATCGTACGCATACACGCGTCATCAGCACCTAGGCTACCCGCGCTGAATATTTTATTTATTTTTACCAAGTAAACAGCATAGCTATAAGGTTGCATTCGAGGATATAGCTGATCTTTCCGCATGAGAAACATTCAAAGCAAAGCGCTGTGTGAGTTACTCCTCCTGTGCAAACACATCAGCTATCGCCTGCATGCGGTCGATGGCTATAAATAGGGGGAATTGGCACGCTGGCGCGGGACCCTCACGTGTGTCTTACGTCAGCAACACTCACTAGCTACAGGTAGAATTAGCGGGGGCGACAACGTCACTATAACAACGCTTACGCGTTAAAACCTAAAGGGAAAAGACGCGATAACATCGTAATAGCATTAAACGGCGAGTCAGTCTCGCTTGTTTTACCGCGCGTCGCGACGAGAAATTTGTGTCATAATGAGGCGTTAATAGTGAACAGACTTCTCAGTAATTGCCATAATTGCTCTAAAATTGTGAGTAGTACCGTGTAAGTAACTGTTCGCGTAGCCACCACCGCACCAGTGATAAAAAATGCACTATGTGCGTTCAATGGCTATCATTAAGTAACTCATAACAATATCTATAGTGCGAACTGAATTCTTGATTCGACAGCCATCCCCATCATTAGGGCAGTAAGGCTTGTTTGAGAGAGGAGCTCTGGTGACTAGCGGCTTCTGTATAAATCACAGTAGGGCCTACCCGACACGCATCGGTGTATTTGCATCCATTATCTGTGCAGCGTGACCTCCTTACCCCGTGTAACGAGCCTACCCCTACATGTTGTGATTTCCCCGGTGCATAGCCTGATCCCCGTGTACAGAGTGCCTTTCTTGCTTTTGACGCGTTCAGCTGAACTGCTTGGCTTCGATCATATTGTCGACAAAGCCACTACGAGGAGCACAAACGACGCGGCGTGGGTGTAGGGCACTTGAGCGGTAAATCGCCAGCACATGTATTTTCATACCTATTGTAATCACCGGACGGAGCTCATCTCCACCCGGTGAAACTACGAGAATGTACACAAAACCCAACTCTAATAGGCATCCTCGCAATGCCGAAGACGGTGAGAGACGTAGCTACGAAGGAGATGAAAAGCGCTGTGTCTCCGGGGTTAACTCGTGCTCTCATTCTTCTGAGCAGGGCTGTCTTCGGAGCACTTCTGTACATCTCTTTTCAGTACAACCGATCTGCTTTTCAGGAGAGCACAAAATAGTGACAAAGACGTGTCTTCTGCTCACTATATTAGTCAACGTGTCATATAATCATCACAAGCATGCACACACGTGCACTTACACACACGTATGCGTACACACACGCGCGCGCGTACACCCCCACGCGTGCACACACACACACACACGACGGCACACACAACACACACAACACACATCACACAACAACACACAAACACACACACACACACAAACACACACACACACACACCACACACAACACAGCAACACACACACAACCACACACACACAACACACAATATATTATATATTATATATATATATATATATTACATGAACGTGCTGTACCGGCAGTCGATGCTATGCATGAGAAATGTAATCAGATACCGATAACATGATCGATGCAACGCGTGGACTATCGCAATTCAAGCCTAATTAAGTCCCGTTGCGCCAGCGAGGCGGGCGACCGGACTGTCATGTATCAATTTTGCTTTCGTCGGATTCCTTCTCTCGTTGAGCATGTTTAGTCGGCGAAATAGTTTGCCGTGATTGTGTTTCTAGTTGGTGGTGGATTCAATCATATCTCGGATACCGGTGATGTTACTCCATAGGAGAGCGAATCTCGGCCTACTGATTTACCGGCGTCGAGTTTTTCACAGGGTTGACATGAAAGAGACCATACTGATTACAGCTCCTAACCAGAGAATTGGATGTGGGTGTGAACTTCATGTCGTTGAGTTTCGACTCCTGGCAAACGGAGAATTGACATTGGCAATTTCGTTGGCTGTCTCGTATGTGGTATATGAGCGCGCAATACGTCAGGTTGCTCAGTCAGTGTGTGTGGGGGATAACGTGCGTGCGTGCGTGCGTGCGTGCGGTCGCGCGCTTGGTATGCTGTGAGCGTGCGTGCATGTGTGTATGTGTGAGGGTATGTGTATGTGATGTGTTGCGTTATGGGTAAGTATGTGTGTATGTGTGCAGTGGCGTGTGTATGGACATATATATATATATATATATTAATCTCTGTGTGTGTGTGATGTGTGTGTGTTGTGGCTGTGGTGTAGTGTGCCGTGCTGCCGCGCGCGCTCGCGTGTTCGGCTGCCACTGCGCGCGGGACCGCGGTGTGTGTATGTTGTATCGTATCTGTGTATGTATGAAGTATGTGTGAGCATGTCGTGTATATGCGTGCGTGTATGTTTTGTATTTGTTATGTGTGAGGTAGTGGTATGTGTTATGTGTGAGTAGTGTGTGTATGTGGAGTGTTTGTGGTGTTACGTAGCTGGTGTGTTATGTGTGGAGTGTGCGTGTGTATGCATTGCAAATATATATATAGTTTATGATGGTGTGATGTGTGTGGTGGCTGTGTGTAGTGTGTGTGTGTGTAGTGTGTGTGTCGTGTGTGTGTGTGTTTGGTGCTGTTGGTTGTGAGGGATAACCCGTCTGCTAGGACGTTGCCCACCTGCGACGGGCCTGACACCTGACGTATGCTGATTCCTACTTGACGCACCTAAGTTATCAGGGTGGGAAACAGGTGAACAATGACATATTTGTCTGTCTATTGCACCAACGCCGCACTGTATTAGTCTGCTCATGTTAACTGGCCTGGTTCAGAGTTACCGGACCATCCCACAATCTGCAATTCTTCGTATTTGCAACTGAGCAACCATCGCCCCCGACATCGTCGGTGTAAGGGGATTTACTTGCGTTCCTTACATCGGCGCTAGTAAATGTAAGTGCACTGCCACGGGCATGCCGCCGGATCACTTCGGCATCGTGAGGCTGTCTATGTCGTGTGACCAGATTTTGTCGGCACGTCTTTTATATGTGACACACTGTGTAATATAATCGTGTTTGATAATTGCTCGGTAATATGATTAAACGATGTTATGAGCTGTCAGGACTCGTTCATAATCCAGGATTTGATGGAATGATATATTTGTTTGCTAGGGAACGGCCTGATAAGGTGTACAGTGACGGTATAATGAAGACTCGCGAGTGTCGAGCTTAGTTGCTATTGCTCGAGCCTTATGCTATTTAATGATAGCGCGAACCCATTTCCATTCAACATCCTCTGGTCTCGGGCATCTCCCGTCGAGTCGTTATACTTCAGGACACGATCTGCATTTTGCAATCAGTTACGTTTACGTTAACGTTGCACGGTTGCTGCCGATCGCTGTGCTACTGTGCTGCACTGATTGCTGTTGCTGGTTGCGGGTTGTTGCTGTGTGCTCGTTGTGTGCTGTGTAGCTGCTGACTTACTGACTGTGCTGCTGCTTG